TCCTTTACCTGGAATCTACACGCACGCATTACACGTTACTCTCCCCTTTTATTCAGCCTTCATCTTTCAAATCTCACCCTAAATATCAGTTCCTCAGAGAAGCAGCTCCCCTCACAGCCCCGCCCCAGGTGGTTGGATTATCTGTCACGTGCTTTTATCTCCCCGTCCTTTATCTTCACATCGTGTGCCACAACTTGCAGTTTCGTATTTAGTTGTGTCATTATTATTTGTACAGCTAATGAAGGCAGCCGTGTGTACTCCATGCAGGCTCGGAATGACTTGCGTGTTCACTATTTTATCCCCAGTGCTGGGTACATGGGAAAGACCAATAAGACATTTTGTCGCGAGTAACTGAATATTTACTTTTTACTGGGAATGGGAAAAGTTTCTAGGAATAATTTCAAAGGAAAACTGGTTTAATGAAGAGATAGAAGAGTTGAGAATAACAGCACTTAAAATGTTTTCTTTCCAATTAATAATATATGTATTTGTGTATTGACTCGTGTGAAGAAACTGAAAAGAAAGTCGTAAGTGATTTATCTGTGGAGACAGGACGGAAGGGAGGACTATAGGATGGGAGACAGGATGCGAGGAGATACTCCGCTGTAATCTTTAAAAACTTTTTTTGACCCACATGAATATTACTTTAAATGTTTTTATGAGTTTGATGAGATTGTAGTGTAAACACAGGAAATATACGTTCATATAAATCGTTTCTGTTTTTTCTATATTCCTATGTTTTTAACTTGTTTTATTTCAGTATGTCTGAGTCAGTGAGTCTTATCTTCCTTCTCTCCCCAAACAAAACCCTCTTTGAGAATCTGATAAAAGTCATGGGTCTTATTCTCAGAAGAATGAGCATGTGTATATAATTAATTTTACATATTATTCCCAAGGTTATAGGATGTCTGATCTAAACCAAATATCGCTAGCCGTAGTTTCAATATGCAAGGGCATTTTTAAAATCTTCCAGAAGATCAGTGATGGGCTCATATGCAAGGCCGGGGTGGGACTGGGAGTCAGGACACTTGGTTTCTGATCCTAGCTCTGCCGTTAGGAAGCTGCACGACTTCACGTGAAACTGTTTACTCATCTCTGGTCCCCTCCATGTCGTGTTGCTCTAGTGCAGGGTGCACGGGCTTCAGTGGCAAGTACTAACCTGAGGTCGTTGTGACTTGACTTTGCCGCCTAACTACCTGTGTGACTTTGATAAGTTCTCTGAATGTTATTTTATTTCTCTGTAAAAAGAAGGAAAATGATTCCAGTTTGGGGGATTTTTAAAGATTAAATGGAAAGATGTGTTTGAAAAGGCCTTAGTCACACTTGTTACTGATAGGGACATAAAGAAATATCTTGAAAAATTAGAACTCAGTGTTCTCTAAAGTGTCTTTTACCAATAAAGTTTTAAGATTCTATTTAAAGCAACTCTTGTTAACAACAGAATAATGTGGGAAGCTTTTTATAACAGCACCGATCTTATGAAATCACATGGAGATCAGTAAGGTGTTTTACGTCTGTAAACTGATGTTGACTGTATTTTCTGCCTGTATTCCATATTCCACGGTGCTAGAAAGCAGTAAATCTCAAATACCTGATGCAATTTTAAGATTCATGAAAGAATAACACAGGTTAGAATTTCTTGATGTAGGGTCTTTAAATACCCTAGAGGTCTATGAATAGATTTTCACAGGTCTGTGATCTCTTTGAAATTACGTGCAAAATTTTTAGTGTATAAAATTGCAGTGAGGAGCTCTAGCTTTCCTAGTGAACAAGACAGATTAGGGCTCTGCTCTTGAGTCCGTCTTCTAATCGGAGAACACAAACACCGAGTAAACAAAAATATAAGCATGCAGGTGAGACTCACAGAGACGATGAAAATGTTTGGTAGAAAATTCAAATATAGCGATGGACTGGAGAGGGATTTAGAGGATGTTTTAGAGTTTTAAGTGGTCAGGGAGGCCTTCTGAGGGGTTGACATTTTTAGTGGCATCTAAATGATAGAGTGGCCTCCAATTCAAAGATTAGACAGAGAGATTAGTACTGTCATTGTAAGATGGGACCAAACTTTACTTGAGTAACTGGAGGGTAGTGGGTGTTGGGGACAAGTGTTAGAAAATGACGTGGAAAGCTGAGTACAGGGCCTTGTAAACCAGAGTAGGACATCCATATTTTATTCTAAATGTGACAGGAAGCCATTTCAGGGTTTCTAGCTGGAGAATGAGAAAAGGAAACTCAAGATAGAGACCTGACGACTCCAGAATTTAGGGGTTTAAGAAGTCAAAAGCATAGCCGTTGAGTTGGGAAAGGCAAGGCACAGTTCATCTGCGACACTTTCAAGGAGGAGGAAGCGGTCATCTGTTTCGCATCTTGTTGGGGAGACAAGTAGGATTAGAACAGCGACCTGACCATTAGATTTGGCAGCCAGTTCGCCAGAACAAATACTGAGAAGTCAGTAGCTGTTAGGGAATGCAGCTTTGTGATTTTGGTTTTTCAATGAAACTGCATATAGTTCTTCCTTTTCTATAATCTTTAATCTGTGGATGGTTATGTGATTAAGAGTTTGGGTTTTGATCCAGAATATTTGGGTTAATATTTCAGCTCTGTTTCTTTTTAACGTACTTAGTCTCCCTAAACCTCCATTTTTTATATCTGTAAAATGAGATAACAATAACCACCTACCTTTGATAGGTTTGCTCTATGTGAGGCATTTAGCAAGGATGTGGCACATAGTCGTATAAGTAGTAAAACTTGTAATGTGCAATAAAATGTTTATCTTTTGTGCTCTTTGGGGTTTGTGTAGTTTATAGTGTTTAAGGGAATAAACTGCAGTGTTTTGTTTTTACTTTATGATTAATAAATTTTAACTTTTCTACAAGGCCATAGTAGTAAAAACTCATTAACTCTACTTTGCAGGGATTAACACAAGATCGGAATCTTTGTAGGCATTAAAATGAAGCCTTGCTAATCCATAGAAGCGTTCATATGAATGAGACTTTATAGACTTAATCAGCTTAATCACATTTTCTGACTAATACCAGTTCTTGTTCTGAATTTTATGTCCCCTACACACTTAACCTTTTTTGTTCTTTATGCTGGAATATTCTGCAACCCCATGCACAATTGTAGCATTTGACTACTATTGAGTAGAGTAACTAGATACTGTATTTCCTTTTTGAGCATTCCAGATGATAGTCTCAATGTATTAAGAAGTAATAATTTCATATAAGCGTACTTGTAGCTACTCATAATCTATTAAAAGTATTTATAATTAAAACATAGAAATCAAAATTGGCAATTTCTTTTTTCTTTCTTATTATTGCAAAGGCCATTTGAACACCAAAACAGATAACTTTAGACCCTCAATGTAAAATTAACTTGGTAACTGTCTACTGGACCATTAAATTGTTTTTCATTGTCCGTTTGTCTGGTAGCACACTTTGCAAAAACCAAACAAAGCTGAGATTATTCAGAAGGCAGATACTATGACTATGCTGTTTCACTGTTTCCTCAGCAGTTCAAACTGAGTCTGGCATATAGCAATGCTTAGTAAATATTTGTCGAATGAATGGATAAAAGTTTTTACATTCCTAGAAACTGTTCTCTCACCAGTAATGAATGGGCTTGCATTTGACTTATTTCAGTAAAACATTAGTTAAATGTAATGTTTGAAAAATAAGCTGTATAGATTACTTTTCTAGTTAAATTACAGCTTAAATAAGATTTTTTTTTCATCTTTATAAGTCTCTACTGAGCATAATCAAATCTTTAAAAACTTGTAATACTATATTAACTTTATTGTTTTGTGCATCAATTCTCATTTTTAGAAACTACACTTACAGTGAGTGTAGCGGGTATTGTTTAAGATAAGTGCTAGAAGTTTCTGGTCTGGTTTTATACATAAAGAAAATTTCTGTTAGACACAAGTGATGAGTTTTGTGACTTGGTTTTTATCTCCCACTAAAAATAGACTGTAGACAGTGAAAATTGATTATATATGAGTTCTGGTAAACTATAATTGTTCCATCATTCTTAAATTTGAGAATTTAAAAAATTGGAAGTAAATAATTTTAACTATGTTATTCTAACAGAACACACTATAGCAACAAGTATAGACTATACCAGGGGTTTAAAAATATCCACCAGTAAATAAAACTCTTAGGAATATCTAAAACCCTTAAAAATAACCCATAAAAAACCCAGGCTCTTTTTATCTCTGCCTACAGCAAATTTAATGATAATGTGTTTTAAGGTAGTTTTTAATTTAGGCCAATTAAAAACACCCTCTAATAGAGGTGTAACATCCACAGAAGTTTCCATATCATAATTGTATGGCTTGATAAATTTTCATAGCTGAACAGATTTATGTAACGTGTACAGATGAAAAAGTAATATTATTAGTTACCCCTAAAAAGGCTAATTTTAAAATACAAAGCAATCATAGATAAATGAGAGACTTAGGTGCTGAATCTAACTTTATTACTAACTTCAGGTGTAACCTTAGGCAAGTTATTTCACTTTCTGGGGCCTACTCCCCATCTTTAAGTTGAGGGGATGCCACTAAATGTTTTATTTTGGCTCTAATTCTGTAAAAGTGGAAAAAGATGGACTGTGGCAATATAAATGTTGTATCATAGGTCAAAATGAGAATGCCAGTTGCCTTTAAAAAGGAAGACATTCTAATTTTTTTCTTTTTCTTTGTTTTCCAGGTTATATTTCACACTATGTGCTGACTGTATCTACAGAAGATATTAAAAAAAAAAAAAGATAAACTTTTTTCAAAGATTTTGATTCCAGTGGAATCTTCGCTTTAGCTGTTGTGCGTGTGTGTGGGGGCGTGTGCGCGCGTGTGTGTGCGTGTGTGTGTGTGTGTGTGTGTGTGTGTGTGTGTCAGTGAACTGCAACTCCAGAAGCGATGCCTGTGCAAGCTCCGCAGTGGACGGATTTCCTCTCCTGCCCAATTTGCACTCAGACTTTCGACGAAACTATCCGGAAGCCCAAGATTTTGATTCCAGTGGAATCTTCGCTTTAGCTGTTGTGCGTGTGTGTGGGGGCGTGTGCGCGCGTGTGTGTGCGTGTGTGTGTGTGTGTGTGTGTGTGTGTGTGTCAGTGAACTGCAACTCCAGAAGCGATGCCTGTGCAAGCTCCGCAGTGGACGGATTTCCTCTCCTGCCCAATTTGCACTCAGACTTTCGACGAAACTATCCGGAAGCCCATCAGTTTGGGCTGTGGCCATACTGTCTGCAAGATGTGCCTGAATAAACTCCACCGCAAGGCTTGCCCATTTGACCAGACCACTATCAATACAGACATCGAGCTCCTTCCTGTGAACTCAGCATTGCTGCAGCTCGTGGGTGCTCAGGTAATTTCCACGTGTGTGCATGTGCGTTCCTCCTGAGAGAAACCTGTCGAATGAAAATTGGGTGTCGTTGCCTTCCTTGTAAATAGGTAGAATCCTGTGAGTGCTGTGCTCACCCTGCGGCCGTCAGCATTTCTCAGTCATGGCACATGGTCAGACCTTCTCAGCCATTCAGGTCACTGAGAAACCTAAGAAGTGCCCAGGATTTCTTAATATTGAGGAAAATATTCACAAAACCGTTGCAATTTACTTAATAGGAAAGGCGAAGCTGCTTCAGACAGTTTTACTTAGCAGACACTAACCAAAATGAAAGATGAAGAAGGTGAGCCTTTGGGAACCATCGACCTAGAGTAGAAACATATCCCTAGGTACCGATAAAATTTAGTGTGGTAATTCTGAAAGTCATACTCTGGAAGTTTTATATCGGTTTTCTCAAATCAGAGATCAGTGGCTTCCTCTGAGCCACACAGAGGTTTCCCAGCCACAGAGGCAGGTTTTTGAAAGCCAGGTAGATATTCACTTAAATAATCCCTCACTAGATTAATTCGCCTAGTGTGAGTCTGAAGTACCACCTGTTTACCATAAATCATTTTCTGAATAAATATACTGGAACTTGGGGTCTGGTCCCACTAATATCTGCCTATAACCTGCTATGAAGAAGAGAAGGTTGCTGTTATGTATGTTGGAGAAAAAGAGAGCAGTTCTAGAATAGATTATTCAGAAGGAAAACTTATCTCCATACCTGTTTTGATGATGTCACCAACAACACTACAGAATATTTGTCAAATGGGAAAGTGCTGTTGATTCTTTTTCTTTTCTTCTTGTACTTAATATTTCATTTCATAATAATTTTTTTTGTTATTTTAAAAATTCTAGTATGATATTTTGGAGACATTTTAAAAATAGACTTACAGAGGGCAACCATTTTAGAAATACAATATTTTAATAACAACCAAGGCTTACTTTTTAAAGTTGTCTAAGGATGAACTAATTCTTTTTCTACAAAACGAATAAGACCTTGTCCTGTCTTAACTGAAGCAACTAATGATTGTGAAATATGAGGATAGGACATTTTAATATATATAATAGCTACCATTTTAACCCTAAAGATTTCCTTTTAAAAACCATTAGAGCTAGCGAATTATTTAAAGTCGCAGGATACAGAATCAACATGCAGAAATCAGTTGCATTTCTGTACACTAACAATGAGCAATCCAGAAGGAAATTAAGGAAACAGTTCCACTTACAGTAACATCAAAAAGAATACAATACTCGGGAACAAATTTAGTGAAGGAAGTGAAAGGCTTGTACACTGAAAACTAGAAAACATTGCCGAAAGAAATTTTTATAAATAGAAATAAATGGAAAGGCATCACATGCTCATGGATAGGCAGACTTCCTATTTTTAAGATGACAGTGCTACTCAGAGCATTCTACAGATTCAGTGAAAGCTCTGTCAAAATCCCATGGTGTTTGTTTTTTTTTTTTTTAGAAATAGAATCTTTTTTTTTAGAAGTAAAAAATAGAAAGAGAAAAATTCATCCTAAAATTCATATGAAATGAAAAGAGACCCCAAATACCCAAAAGAATCTTGAAAAAGATCAACAAAGTTAGAGAAATCACACTTTTTAATTTCGAAACTGCAAAGCTACAGTAATTAAGACTGTGGTACTGACGTAAGCATAGATATTTAGATCAGTGGAATAGAATAGACAGTTCAGAAATAAACCCACGTACACGGTCAGATGATTTTTGACAAGGTTGCCAAGACCACATTCAAAGGGGAAAGGACAGTTTTTCCAACAAATGGTGCTGGGAAAACTTGATGCTCAAATGCAAGAGAATGAATTTGGACCGCTACCTCATACCATATGCAAAAATTAAAACGAGTCGAAGGCTAAATATGAGAGCTAAAACTACAAAACCCTGAGAATATCGGCACAGATATTTGTGACCTTGGAGTAGGCACTGTTTTTTTTAGTTGTGACACGAAAAGCACAAGAGAAAAGAAATTGAACTAAATCAAAATTTTACTTTATACTTCCACAGACATCTTCAAGAGAGTGAAAGAACCCACAGAATGGGAGAAAATAATTGTAACTAATGTATCTAGTAAGAAACTTATATCTAGAACATGGAACTCTTACAGCTTAATAATAAAAAGAACAAAATTTTAAATGGGCAAAGATCTGAACAGACACCTCACCAAAGAAGATGGCAAATGAGACAGAAAATAGATTAGTTTTGTGTGTGTGTGTGTATAGAAAAGGTCTTTTGTAAGAATCCAGTAAATTTAGTGGGAGTTTTGATGTTACAGGCATTAAGTGGCAGTGCATAAAATGCACTCAATAAAACATTTGTTTAGTTAACTAGCGAGCACTGAAATAGACTTTTTCTTTTGACCTCTAGGTCCCTGAGCAGCAGCCCATTACTTTGTGTAGTGGGGTTGAAGATACCAAGCATTATGAGGAGGCCAAGAAATGTGTGGAAGAGTTAGCATTGTACCTGAAACCACTTAGCAGTGCTAGAGGTAAATCAGGTGCAGTTATCAGTGCTAACAAATGGTCACCAAAACACTTTTATTACCATAAAAATCGTGGGCTCTATGTGAATGTTAATGACATTTATTTATGTATTGTAAGCCAAACCCACTGGTGCTAAATAATGTCATTGCAAACCACATCGAATCAAATAGTGGATTTAGAGTTTGTGTGCCGTTAGAAACATTATTGGACTGAGTCACCGAAGGGTCAGTACACTGATGGCTTCGGAAGGGCTCTGTTACTTGACAGCTCTGGACTGTCTTCTCTTCAGTTTTACACGGTGTGCTGTAGAGGATGTAATACAACTGAAAGCTGCCATCCTGCCTTGCCCGCACAGCTCGCTTTCCCTGGGAAAGTACGATGAGCCACTGTGAAGTAGCATGCCAGAACTGTTATGCCCTCAAGATTTGTGTCTTAAACTAATTAGTAACGTCTGGCCTTTTTCTTTATTCCATGATTAAAACAAATAATGATATATTTAATGGCATGAGTGTTATGTTGGCATGAGATAAAGCTCTTGCATACTTTTAAAAATGCTTCATTTGTGCAATTTTATCTATTGTTTAGTTTCAATATTCTAGTAGAATGCAGGACTATTCACACTCTCGTAAGTCATTCAGCCCGTCAGAGGAAGCGTTCCTGGACTCTGAGGTAGCATTGTAAACCCAGAAATAACTTTTTACTCTCTTTTAAAGGAGTGGGTCTGAACAGCACTACTCAGAGTGTTCTGAGTCGCCCGATGCAGAGGAAGCTGGTGACTCTGGTCCACTGCCAACTAGTGGAAGAAGAAGGCAGGATCCGTGCCATGCGAGCAGCTCGATCTTTAGGTGAACGAACAGTCACGGAGCTGATTCTCCAGCACCAGAATCCTCAGCAGCTCTCTTCGAATCTGTGGGCAGCGGTCAGGGCGAGGGGATGCCAGTTCCTGGGACCAGGTATGGAATTGAATTTCATATTTACTATACTAGGAATTCTAGAAGTGCAGTGTAGGAACTGTAAGTTGCGTACAAAGGTAGTTCATTGCAAATTCTGTTGTTATCGAGCAGTACCCCACTTGAGAATCATGGCTTATGTAATTCCATGTCTGGTTTTTCATAGCACTTGAAACTTTTAATTCCAGAGTTTATTCATTTTGATAGAAGTTTTTCTTAAATGTATTAGTTTTTTATCTGCTTTCTTAAATAAAATATACAGAATATAATACAAAATTGCCCCTAAACGGTTAAAAAGTGTAACTGTGAATATCTTTTATTGGATTGCCCATTCATTAAGTGATAACCTGCAGAAATGATTGAATATTGCCCTTCTAATAAGTGGCTTTATCTTATCTCTATACATGATAAATTTTGGTTTTGCCCAACTTTTTCCAGCAATGCAGGAGGAAGCTCTAAAGCTGGTTCTCCTGGCCTTGGAAGATGGTTCTGCTTTGTCAAGAAAAGTATTGGTTCTCTTCGTGGTGCAGAGGCTGGAGCCACGGTTTCCTCAGGCTTCTAAAACTAGCATCGGGCACGTCGTCCAGCTCCTTTACAGGGCTTCCTGCTTCAAGGTATGGGAGGCACTGTCCTCTCCCTCAGCTTAGGGATCAAAACTTTGAGTTTAATAAAGTTGCCTGTATCTTTTCAGAAGATTCCAGCAATTTTTTTTTCTTTTAAAGAATATAGATGGTGTCCTATTAAAGTTAAATCTTTTTGTATTAAATTTTGTATATTAGATCCTGGATAACGTAGATCAAACCAAGGCTTATAGATTTTTGTATTTGAAGAGACTAATAAACTGTCGATTTTCCACCAAGACTGTAAGCAGAATTGGTCTGAATAGAGAGTCATTGAAGCAGGAATAAGTTCTATTGATAGAATTCCCCATACACAGTATTGGAGTTTCATTTGCCATTTTGGTTTCAGGATATGTAGTAATGCTGGACATATTCTTTTGCATCCCAGATTGATTCGACACTTCTTCAAACATTGGCGCCTATGTGTATCGTTTGTTTATTGTTTGTCCTGTTTTCCTGGCTTTTTGATGTCAGGGCTTCTTGCTTCTGGCACAACACCTAACCAGTACTTCATGGACCACGGGAGCCTGTTTCTAAAATGTTGTTAATTCACACAATCTCTAAGGATCTCCATCCCTGAGGTCACTACAAAAAAAAAGTCCCACATTACCCCTCATACCGAATTCTCTTCTCTCATTTTTTGAAAAAGATAAAATGGTTCACAGAATCAACAAGAGAGAATACAGAATTAACGTAAAGAAGATTTTTTTTAAGCTCTATTTAAATGCCAACATTAGTCTGTTTCTTTCTATAGAGTCATTGTATACTGAAAGTGGGGTGTGGATTTCAGATGTGTACCCACCCCTCTTGTTACCTCTGGAGCTATCACAGCCTCTAGCTAACATAACTCCAGCGGATCCAGATTGTTCCTGAATAACTCACGTTCGTTAGAATGGTTGTAATAGCGCGATTGTGTGGTATAATCTGGAATACACTTCAGAATGTCTGTCTGCCTCCAGTGTTACTTGTTATCCACTCATAGTGTCAGACAGACACAATATAGGAAACTTCAAACATAAAAGGATAGAAAAGGAAATTATCCTTCCCCGTGAAGAGTAATAAGAGGTGCGGAACCCCCAGAATACCACTAGGCGAACCTCTCAATCCTAGTTAAAAGCATCAATAGCAGTTTTTTCAGAGATTGGAAATTTGTAAAAATCCAATGATTTTCCACTTGGGTCGTGATTATTTCCCTTTATTTCGTTGTCCACATACTTTTTTTTTTAGGAGTTTGTACTACGTATCATGAAAAGATTTATCTTATTGCAGTAGGTCCACGCCTTTCACTGTGGCAGAGTTTCTGCTGAGTTATCTGCCAAGCTCCATTTCATCCTCTCACAGAACTCAAGTCAGACTGCATTTCCCTATCCTTCCTTGCAGATGTCTGTGCCCGTGAAGCTGTGTTCTCACTGTGTCTTCCCAGCATCTCTCTCATTTCCGTTTGAAGAGCTTTTCAAGCTGTGGGATAATTCTGGTCATCCTTAGTACAATACAATACAATGCCAGGATTTTATACATTGCATCTCTTGGAATCCGTGACTGTTTTTAGAGGTTTGAGAGCCAAGTCCAGGAAACCCCAGTATATCCTATAGAAAGCATTTTCTGCATTTTAGTGAGATTTAAATTATATCGAGAGGGAGTTTGAATACATATACAAATGCATTTGGTCTTTTAACTTGCTTTAGAATAGTAGCAAAATAGATTTAGTTTTTGTGGCTATAGTTCTTGTTTTTGTATATATTTGGTCTTTCTGTGGGCTTAGCTAACAAAATTTAAGTTAGAGCTGTTTGTAATAAGAATGGAGTACATTTTTAAATATAGTATTTGTATGACGTAGAAGTCTTGACTAAAATATTCTGTAGATTCTTCAGTGGGAGAAAAGAATAGGAATTTTCTACAGAAATTTGAGTCTTTATGGGAGTAATAGGTTAACAATGTAAAATGCATAATGCTAGCTATATATATATGTGTGTGTGTGTGTGTGTGTATATATATATATATATATATATATATATATATATATACACACACACACATATATATATATGTATGCACCGTACTGTTAAGTTGTATACCTAAAACTTTAAAACTTACTGGATTTTGTTACCCAATGTCACCATAACAAAAATTAATTAAAAAACAATAATGTAAAATATGTTCTAAAATATGTTAGGATCTAGGTGATCCTAGACTAGAATTAATTATTTTACTTTGGTTTGTTAAGCCTTTGGCCTAAACCCAGCCTGACTACAAATGGGAGTCATCGGGTATGATAACAGTAGTACCTACCTCAACAGGTTTAGAAAATTAAATGAGTTAATAACGTCAGTATAATGGTTAGTAAGGTAATTTACACTGAGTGGCACATACTAAGTGCTCAATAAGTGTTCATTGTTTTAATTACTAGAAAGTATTATTATCATCATGATCGTTCTAGTTCAGCATCTCAGAATTTACACTTTCTGATGGTGGCTTGACCTACAAAACTCCATTGAGAATTAAGCCAAGTACGCATTAATCATCTTTAGAATCACGCCAGTATCTGAAGCTCTTTTATTATGAGTAACAGCAGCTCAGTGCCAGGCAAGCCAAAGAGTAATTAATTATCTGCAGTTACGGAGAAGAAACATACATTGTTTTTTCAGAATAATTGTATGCATATTTTCTTCTTTTCACAAATGCATATACACTCACATAAATTTAAACTGCATTATGTGTTAAGGTCTGTTCAGTCTTTGGATTTTCTTCCAGCATATATTCATTCTGTCTTTCTGTGGGTCCATCCAGAAGATTTTGTCATCATAAAGGAGGAAATGTTTTATTGGCAAAATGGCATGCTCCATTTTAATCTTGTTATTGTCACTAAATTTGTTACATTAAAAATGATCTGTTATCTCGGTGTGCTCTTATAAAGTATAAACCCATTTTGTTCCTTACCGGCCTCATCATGAGACTGTGTGTATCTTATTAGGTCACCAAACGTGATGAAGACTCTTCTTTGATGCAGCTGAAAGAAGAATTTAGAACCTACGAAGCTCTGCGGCGAGAACATGACTCCCAGATAGTGCAGATCGCTATGGAAGCAGGCTTACGCATTGCACCGGACCAGTGGTCCTCTTTGCTGTATGGAGACCAGTCTCACAAATCTCACATGCAGTCCATTATCGACAAGGTAGACCCTTCTTTGTTCCTTACTTCTTGGACTAATCTTGGAGATTCGGTAATTCATTTATTTAACAAATGTGTATTAAAGCACGTACTGTATGTCAGGCTCTTGTAAATTACATTCTCTGTAGCCGATTGTCATGTGATATAGTACACCATCACCCTGGTTTGTTAATTAAAGTTTTTTTTAGTTGAGGAATAATTGACGTTTTTGATATGAGGTTTGGTTAGTGTTAGAATGCTTTGTCCAGCACGCGCGCGCTCATTCTTTTGAGAGGCTCCCATCTCCACTTTATATCATTGTCCCTCTCCCTTCTTTTATTGTTCTCTGAGTTTTGCTCATTGTGTTCGTTAAACCCATTTGCTGAACGCCGCGTTGTCTTCCTGCAGCGCCATGTAGTGGTCCGGAAGCTGCACGCATTGGGCTTCGTATCATTCTCAGCCAGAATGATTTCACATGAGAAGTCACCAGCCATCCTAAGTTTGATCAGATTTTCAGTAAACTTATTTCTGCCGCGTCTGTTGCTTGTTATGATGAAAAGATCACTAGAGTACACGTGAATTTTCGGTCAAGCTCTATAACTTATTTTGACTCTAAGAGCTATATTTAATTCTCTTAAAACTGGAGCATGCTGTAACTGTTGTAATTCGATATGAAACAGACGAAAGTGCTATAAAAACGTCTTAAAGTGCCATGTAAATATGTTATGTTCAATATTAGTATTTAACATTTACTGTTTTACCTTACATACTTATAAACACAGAGATGATTATACGCAGTAGAGTTTACCCTACCATTAATTGAGAGAAATAAGATCAAGATATAAAAGTTCTCTAAATATAACATTTAACACTTACTGAGAGCTCACTATGTGCCTGGTGGTTTAAAGAATTCATTTAATCTTCTCAGCAGTCCTGTATTATCCCTTTTATACAGAAACAGAAGTTAAATACATTTTCCAGTGACACAGCTGGATTTGAACTTGGGCCTTCTGACTCTAGGATCTATGCTCTTAACCACTGAGCCTCTTCCCAGGCTATTCTGTTTCTCCCCCCTTTCCCCCCTCTCCCCTCTCTCTCTCTCTCTCTCTCTCTCTTTTTTTTTTTTTGGCTATTCTCAAGGATAGAATTCTTTGAATGAGTAGATGATTGATGTTAAAGGAGAATTAGGACATTTGTTTTATAACTACTTGGTGCATAATTTTCAGTGTAATGCAGCGGTCCTCAACCCTTTGGTACCAGGCACCAGTGGTCCTATGAGAATCTAATGCCTGATGATCTGAAGTGGAGCTGGGGGAGTGATGCTAGCTCTAGGGAGTAGCTGCAAATACAGGTGAAGCTTGGCTCACTTGCTCACCGCTCACCTCTTGCTGCGCAGCCAGGTTCCTAATAGGCCACGGACTGGTCTGTGGTCTGGGGGGTTGGGGATCCCTAGTATAATGTATATTATTTATTCTGTCTTAAGTCTTCCCTAGAAACCTTTAACCAAACTTTACCTGCAACTCTTAGGTCTGAAATTATGCAGCTGATTATAACATGTTAAAACCTTAGTAACACTCTCTTAAAGGAATAGCTTTCTACCTCCAAAGAGAAACTCGGCTTCTTTTATAAAGAGTCGACAAGGAAGATGGCCTTGCTGTCTGAACTGGACTCTGTAACTAGGTGTATATCCTGTAATAATTTTCTCATGTTCTGAGCAAGAATTTGAATTTAATATCCAGAGGCCTACATACAACAAACTGGTAAACAACCTTTACAGTGTATGTTCCAAGTTGTTATTATTTAGAGCAGGAGAACTTTCTGTGATAGTGTAAGTGTCCTGTGTATGCACTGTCTGGTATGGTGATCACTAGCCACATGTGGCTTTTAGCAACCAAAATATGACTTATGCAAATGATGAACTAAACTTTTTATTTTATGTAATTAATTTAAATTTAAATAGCCACATTCTGCTAACGACTACTGTATTGGACAGTGCAAATAGAGAATTTATTAAAAGTGTTAAGAAAAGCAATAATCCTAGTAAATTAATGGACAAAGAAAGATGAATTAACAGTTCAACAAGAGGAAATGTATCTAGTCAACTAGATAGAATTCCGTCCCAACAATAATTAAATATACAATTTAAAACAGTGACAAACCTGATGTTGCCTGTTCAATTAGTAAAAGAAACATACTCACACATTGCTGATGGTTTGTAAAATGCATTGCAAATCTTTTGGGAAGCAATTAGTAAATAAAAATGCAAAATAGTCATGTCTTTTGACCAAACTTACTATTCCCAGGAATTTATTTTAAGGAAATAATCTAAACTCTCAAAACTGTCATGAGCTGAGAGGTATTAATTGCTGTATTATTTATGGAGGAAAGAATAAGGAGATGGTTAAGATCTATCTGCTCAGAACACTGTTATATGGCATTAAAATTAGTTATGTCCAGACAGATACTCTCTTCGACTGATAAATAATATTTAATTTCTGTAAGAAAAATGTTAGTGAAGTATTTTGAAGTCTTGATGGTAGATACGTAGGTATTGTCATTATATTAGACAGTTAATTTTCTGGTTAGCAATATAAAAAATGCTTTTTTTGTACTATTGATGGTAGCCAAAACCATAAGTTTATAAATGGCTGATTATAAGTACATAAACATGCAGAGATGAAAAAATTAAATATAGGCATGTCAGCATTCTAATGATAGTTATGTTATTATCCATGTTTTAAAAAATGTATGCTTTTTTTTTTAATTACCTTTTATAGAGTGACCTTTTGGGAGAAAAAAATTCTCATCTATATTAATAAACTGCTAAATTTTTCCAAGCAAGAACCTTTAGTTACTTTCACATAATCAATTTTTTTTCCTATTAAAGATCATGTTTGGCCAACTTAAGAGAGTTAATGAAGAATGTGTGTCATTAAGCCTTAGGAAAATACACAGCCTGATAGCTTCTAAGAATCCAAAACGAGTATAGGATTTTTTTGGAGTTGGAATGGACTTTGGTAATTATTTAGTCCGTATAACAGATGTACTTCAGACTGAGTCTGTGGAGATTATAGCCAGCCAGTGTCATGATCTTTGGTCTGTAACAGAAGTTGAACTCAAACTCAGTTTGACTGAGTTCAAGTTCATTGTTCTTACTAATGTATAGCATTATCTCTAGGCTGTATTTCCAAATTTCAGTTATTTGGAAGGACCCCAAGAGCTAAACTGTAGGAACATAAAATGGGAAGAGTACTTCCAAATTGAGAAATTGAGCGGTCTCACGGTTGAGGAGTGTGACAGCAGGGGGAAGAGTATACAACGTGGCAGGCCGTAGATGGACAGAAGTGTGTGGTTTGCTCAGATAGCGGGTGGTCCAATCTGGCCAACGCGTGGGATGCGTGGGAGGATACAATTAAATTTAATAAATTGCAAAAATGATCGAATCGTGATATTATAAATACTCTTTATTTTAAAAGGATTATCTGGCCTTTGGGAAAGTTAATATTTATTTTTTTTAAGTTGCAGACCCCAGCCTCTTTTGCACAAAGTGTTCAGGAACTAACAATTGCTCTCCAGCGGACTGGAGATCCAGCCAACTTGAACCGACTAAGACCCCATTTGGAGCTATTAGCAAACATTGACCCTAGTCCAGGTAAACCCAAGGGAGATTAATGAACTCTTCTATATGTGTGTCTTGCCTCTCAATGGTTTTTTGAATTGTTTTTTTTTTTGTTACCTTCTAGAATTTCCCAGAGTGTGGATATTCCAGATTTTTCCTACAGTATTTAAGTTTCTGGTCCCAATCTTGTCCGTCTAGATCTTTATTACTTCCACTAATATTTACTCAGTACTTTTCACTGCGCTGCTCACTTCACCAGCAGAGGAGAGAGATTCTCCCGCACCCTGTATGTTTCCCTCTCGCTGTGAGATCGTGCTGTATTTTACCGTTCTCATCTCTTTTGACAAAACTCAAGTTGTCTCATTTTTTCTAAGTCGTACATTTAGATGCGTGTTCTCGGTCCCATTTTTATTCTTCTCTGTGGTATCTTGTTTCATCAAGTCTCTTTCTTACTCTCAGCACTTTTTCTCTTCCTCCTCCTTGACCTGAAAATCACCCAACCTTCATTTTCACCTCAGACTCCCGTTTAAGATCGTTTAGCTTCATCCTCGTGCCGCCCCTGTGATTATTCTGACCACTAAACTGAAACTCTCTTAGCATCACTAGGAATCTCCCGGCTTCTAGCTCCGAAGGCTCCCTCTCAGTCCTTGGATTACTTGACCTGTCTTCAGCATTTGGCAGCGCCCTGGCCTGCTTCCTTGACGTGAAGCCCTTCTCATGCCTCAGTTCTGTAGTCTGCGCCGCTCGTCTGGCCCGCGAATGCTGCCGCCTGTCGTGACCCCTTCCCTCTCCTGCCCACTGAGGAGTAGGCCGGTTGTGTTCTTGGAGCTGTGTTTTCTCTGCACTGTGTCGATGATGGTCATTTATTCCCAGCATCAGGTGTTCTCTCTCCATGGACAGCAGGCTCCCAGATATCTCTAGCACTATTATGTCTTCATCCCTCCAGACCCACTTTCCCAAGTGCTTTCTGAGGCTCACGTCACCTCACCTCCTCTGTGTTGTATCTTTGCTTGATACCCACTTTTCCTCCTGTGTTCCCTCTCTGCGAACGACCTCGTTCTCGAGCTGTGCAAGCTGAAAATCTCAGTCCTCTGCGTGTACCTCATGCCTTGTCCTTTCACTTGCTCTCCATACCGTTGCAGACCGCAGGATCCATCTGTTCTTGCACAGTGTCTCTCTCCCGTGCCTGTCATTACCACCCCAGCGAGGACCTCATTCCTTTTCCTGAGACCAGATGCCTTCCGTTTTCCTCTACTCTTAATTCTCCCAGTCCATTCTGCTGCCTGCTGCGGGGCGAGCCACGCCTCTGGCCTCCTGCTTCACTCACAAACTCACAGCGCTGCCCCAGTGCTCACGGAGTACGGCCTGGAACACGTGACTCGGACCTTCGGAGTCCAGTCTCCCGGCAGCCCGCCTTTGTAGGCTTACTGCCAGGATCGCTTCATCCGGACGGGTCGGATCTGCTCCTGGAGCCCGCGGGTCGTTGTTTTCGCTTCGGCGCTTTGATCTTTCTGAGCGATCAGAAGGGCACTTTCAGACACTCAGCACCCCGTCAGCCCAGCCCGTCTGCCTGTGTCTGCGCCAGTGGGTTCCTTTCTCCCTGTGTCGCTGGGTAACTACTCGTAGCTAAGGCCACCTCCTCGCCTCGTGCGCCAGTACCGTCTCGTCGAGTACGTCCCTCCAGTAGTCGGTTTCTGACATGGTCAGTTTTCCTTCTCCGCTGGAGTGTACCTGTCAGCGTGCGAGCAGGTACCATCCCTCTCGCCGGCACACACTCTGGCACCATTTGCCATCCACCTACTACTCCGTGCTGCTCTTTGTAGCACTCTCTCGAACTCACTCTGACCAGTCATTTTTCTCTGCCAGTCAGAACTGCTTTGTCAAGGTGACAAGTGACTTCCTCATAGCTCATTCCAGACATCGTATTTGACCTGTTAGCGGTGTTTAACACTGTCAGCGAATACTTTTTCATTTGGCATCCAGGCCACCCCTCTCTCTGAGTTTCCTTCTCTTTTTATTGGACCCTCCTCCTCAGCCGCCTCTGCTGATTTCTCCTCCTCTCCGTAGCTTCTAACCGTTTTTTTCCCCCACAGCCTCTAGCTTTTGGAGCGCTCTCAAGTTTAAGCCTTGTATCTCTTCTCTTTTCTATTTATACCCATTTTCTAGGTAATCTCATCTAGTCTCATGGCTTCAAATATTATTTATATAACTCATGAATTTATTATATTTCATCAGTTCTGAAGCCCACAGTTTTTTCAGATGTTAGCATTTCTGAAATTAGGATGCATTTGTACAGTCAATGACCTGTGATAATTTCATTAGCCATCTTTTTAATGTTTGAGCGGCATATAAAATAATGGTGTGCATATGTTACAATAATGGCATTTTAGAATCTCTGAAACAGTATATCCAGCCCAGACCTTCTTCCTGAATTCTTTTGTACATCTACTTACCTGCTCAATATCCAACATCTCTACTTGAATATCCGATAAGAACTTCATAAGAGTGAGTTCCCAGCCTCTGCCTCACCTCCCATTCCATTAGTGACTACTCTGTCCTCCCATTTCCTCAGGCGAAACACCTTGGAGATACCATCCTCAGCCCTTCTCTCTCTTAAGGTGCATCTGCTCCATCAGCATTTCCCGTGGTCCCTGCTCTTCACATCCATCCAGGAATCCATCTACTTACCACTTTCACTGCTACCACCCTTATCTCTTCATGGATTATAGAACAGCCCTCTATTGTCTGGTTTTAGCCTAGGAACCAGAGTGATCCTCTTACCTCTGTGCTCAAAAATTCTTCAGTGCTTTCATCACTCAGTAGAAGCCAAAATCTTTACCATGACCTACCTTACATCAAAGACATTTAGCTTCATCCCATTGCTGTCCCTGTGTTTATTCTTACTCCTGAACTAAAATTCTCTTAACACAGGAATTTCCCTCTCAGTTCTTAAGCGAGTCTTCAGGTCTCATGTGCTTTGGTCTTTACCTCCCTCCAGCTTCATCTCGTATTCTTTCCCACCCGACTTCTTCCTCTCCAGTGTCACCTCATGGAACACGCCAGGCAAGCTTCCACATCAGTGCTTTGTACTTATTCTTCCCTCTTCTAGAATGTTCTTCTCATATATCCACAAGGCACGCTCAGACTCTTCATTCAGGTCTTCGGCTTGCTGTAATCCCAAGGAGCCTCCCCAGGCCTCCCTGTCCAGAATTTTACACTCCCCACCTTTGCTCCATTTATCGAACTCTTACTCTCGAAGTACTCTGTATCTTGTGATTGATTTATTTATTGTGTGGCTCCTTCCCTTGAATATAACAGGTTTTTGTTTTGGTCGCTACTGCTTCCCCAGCAGCTAGAACAGTACCGGGGAATTACCTACAACGTGTTCTAAAAACACTTTTTTGTATGACTGTTCTCTTTACCTCTACATCTTCATCCATTTTTTCCTGTTAAAATTTCCTGTGTCCTTCAAAGCCAAGTTCAAATTCCATCATCTAAGTTTTTCAGAGCATCTCCAACGGAAGTCATCTCTATATCTGTGTTCTAGAGAACGTTTCATATTAAGCCTTATGGTTAATTTTTCCTTTGTAAAATCACAGTGCTGGCACTGGGGAAAAAGAGGAGGATGTATAGCAGAGCTGATTTATATAAAAGCTCTTTTATTATACTTTTTAAACATTTTATTTAAAATACTCAATTTATACAAAATTTCAAAATAGACATTACAGATTGGTTGACTGTAGGCAGTCCGCAGTTAAGTTTCGTTTGGTTTATATACTGTTGGCCTGCACAATACTCAAATTTTTTTCGGTACCAACACTTAAAAACTGGATATTTTACATAAAATCGCAAATTTCAGTTTTCCCTGGGAAACAGTGCCAGCCTTGCGTCTTCACCTAACAATAGTCGGCTAAAGTTGAGTAGTAGCCATAACCGTGGATATGAGACACTCCCCAGTTCATCGCAGTCCCTGCCACTTCCCAACACTAAGGGTCTAATGGTGGTAGCCAGCTTAATGCCTTTATGTTCCCTTCCCTGTCCCTGTAGTTATTTTAATTTGCAACCTCAACTTTAAAAGTTTATATCTATTTCTTTAAAACGATGTGTGGTTGAATAAGCTATTACCTGCAAAACTGTACGAAGCGTAACTTGACAGCTCCTTTGTTAACTTACGTTGAGCAAAACATGGAATAACATAATTTTAAAAGTTTATTTATTTGCTGTGTAGATGCTCCTCCTCCTACTTGGGAACAGCTAGAAAATGGACTGGTTGCTGTGCGTACGGTGGTCCATGGCCTGGTAGATTATATCCAGAACCACAGCAAGAAAGGAGCAGATCAACAGCAGGTAAGAAGTTTGAAATGTAGACGTGATGTTCCAGACACAAGCAAAGCCAACAAGAATACAAGAGTATTTTGAGACTGTAAAAACTGTAAATTAGTTTAACCTGCTTTGCATCTGGTTTCCTGGATTAGCCTAATAATTTTATCTGCCAGCATTAAAAATACAGAATTCTTGGTGGTCTGATGTTGTATGGAGTCACTTTTCACGTTGGGTGTAGTAGCACTTGATTCTGTGTGAAGGCTTATTGCATTTAGATCATTTGGTTTCTGTTACATTTCTGTTTCACAATAGGTAGGTATCACTTTTTAGTGCTAATGTGACATCTTTCCAGTACTGTTTGCACATTTGTAAATGCTTTTTCTGTAATAGTATTTTAACATTTTTCATTCATAATGTCCGTTATGCCAGTGGGCTAAATTTTTCTCAAATATTTTTAAATGGAATATATGGTGGTAAAATAGCTCATGTGGCTAGAGTTTTTAATTTTATTCTCAGTAATTTTATTTTGCTCTCGGGGTTTTTGTTAGGTTCACTAGATCTTTTATTTGTTTGTAGTAAGCTTGAGAAATTAAAACTTTGTTATTTATCTGGTTCAGGTAAATATTAACTATCCTAAGTACAATAATATCTATATTATTTTCCTTATCAGTCTAAGGATAGATTAGAGCTTTATTTTATGATTCAGAAATAAATTAAAATCTATTTTTAACTGCCTATTCCATTAGATATCATGAAGAATGTAACAAAAATAAGATTAACCTTTAAATTTGCCAGTAAGTGATAAAATACATTTCATTTAGCTTAGTATTGTGTTGGTTGTGTTTGATATCGCATTAACTCTCCAATCCATCATCCTGCCTTGTCCTCGAGTTGTAAATAACAAGTTCCATTTGTACCTTTGGGGATGTATTAAGTCTTTCATATAGCTTACTTGTCAGGAATTGGTTACAGAATATTCTTCAGTTCTAGGGCTTATTGTAGGTCTGTCATAATGTTATAAGGAAACATAATTACAAGTATAGCTATAATAAACATTGTTGAAAACAAATATTAGAAGACAGTTTAAACATTTGAAAGTCGAATTCCAGTGGTTTTTCCATTATAAAACCTGGAACGAAAACCAGAGCCGTCAGATTTAATTAAGAATTTGTGTGATGGTGCATGTTTGAGAACATATCAGAAAAATCAAGCCTACATTCTTATAATTTAGTTTTGAACTCTGAGACAGAATGACCTTCCAGCATTCTTGCTGTGGGCAGTCTAGATAAGTGTGAATCAGCTTCAAGTGTTCATCTAGATTATCAGGATCCTAAAATAGCAGGGCAAAGTTTACATCTCTTTTTTTTTATGCGTAACGTTTTGATTTTGGTCTTAGCCTCCACAGCACAGCAAATACAAAACATATATGTGTCGTGATATGAAGCAGAGAGGAGGATGCCCTCGCGGGGCCAGCTGTACGTTCGCACACTCACAGGAGGAACTGGAAAAGTGAGTGTAAAAAGTCATTAGATTCAGCCTTCTAATGACTTGTTGTAGAATAAGGTAGAATTATTACGTAGAATTTGCCGCCATCGAGAAAATAGAAAAAGTAGTTGCATTCTCTTTCGAAAGTAATATAGAATTTTTAAAAATATAGAATTTTTAAAAACAAGACCGAAGCAGTTTCTTCAGCTTTCATTGCATTGTGCCTAAAAATAGGCCACTGTTTATGGTTAACTAAATCTAGAAGTGAGTCATTGTCACAACCAAAAAAGTTAAAATTCTAATAACTTTCGTTAGTTTTAACTAATTGAATAATGCATTTCCAATGGAAAGTTTTGTCCTTTGCTCTTTTCAAGAAATTGTCTTATTGCCAGGTTCAATTTCACAGAATTTTTTAAATTTCAAGGAACAGATAATTCTGATGATGTTAAATTTTCCAGCACATAATAGAAAGGAATACTTACTAATTTTTTTTGTAAAGCCAGTTAATACTAAGTTTGACAAAGTCAGCACAATTAAACTATGAATTTATTTCACCTATTATTTATAAATCTCAAATATTAAACTTAGATATCAGTAATACATTAAAATAGATACCATGACTAAGAGCAAAAGTAGCACAATATTAGTTACTATAGGTTAGAGAAGTAATACCTAGCGATCATATCCAAAGATGCCAAAAGGCATTTGAATAAAATCCAGTGTCCATGATAGATCAGAATCCCATAATAAAACAAAAATATTATAGACACTTTATCAACATGATAATTAAAAGCCAGCATGATGCTTTTAATTAGTAAAATGTTAGATTTAGTCTCATTAAAGTCAAGAGTAAGGCAAATTTTTCTGCTAGTAAGACTGTTATTTAATTTTCTGGAAGTAGTGGTGAATATGTATAAACAAGAGAGTAAAATAGCCAAAAAATTATTACATGGAACAACTCAAGAGAAGCACTGGAAGCTAAAGAAATAAAGATTTAATAAGGTGGCAAATCAAAAAGTTAGTTTAAAAATTAAATTACTCATAGAAATTAAAAAGGGAAACATAACCAGTTAAAAAGTGAAATTAAAGATTGCTTTTGCATTAACAAAAAGATAAATACCAAATAATAAACTAATAAGAAATATTCAGGACCTTTGTGAATTGAATTAGTAAATGGCCTAGGAACTGCCTAAGAGTAGAATTGAATAATGAAGAATACTGTATTGAATAAGACTGGGAAAAAAGCTTTTATTGTCTCTTAAATAGTAAATTCAGTGAACTCCCAATAGAATCTTCACATGAAGATTGTTAGTTAGGACCTAACAAAATCATTCAGTTGGAAGAATATATGCAGATAGCAGGAAAATTCTGAAAAAAATCTTCAGCAGGGATTAGGCTAATAACTATTAATCCGTATTTTGAGCTAAAATGAATATAAAGACTGTAGTATTGGCATAGGAATAAATAAATCAGTGAAATGCAGTAGAAAATCTAGAAAGAGGTCCAGATACATGTAGGAACTTAGCATGTATGCTAAAGGTGGCATTTCACATTAGTAATGACAATGGTGACGAAATAACTACTTTCCGTTTGAAAAAATAATTAGAGCTGGATTTTTACCTTTATACCAAAATTAATTACGAATGTATCAGAGACAAAAGAAACCATAGAGTACTTAGACACTTTTGTTGTTGTTACATAATCTTACAGTGGGAAAGCATTTTTAAAGAGTGACAACCCAGCATCCATAAAGGAGAATAAGGTTGATAAATTTGATTACATAAGAATTAAAAACTAAGATAACACCACAATTAAAAAAAAACTAAGATAACACCACAGTGAAACACCACAATTAAAAAAAAAAGATTAGTGGGGAAATGATGTACAGAGAGCTGATATCCCTAATATATAATGAACCCTTACAAATCTGTAAGAGAAGAGCCAGGAGATGTATGGGTCATGAACATAAATGAGCAACACTAATCACTGATAAACATGTGAAACTGTTCACCTTCACTAATTGTTAAATAATGCAGTTGAAGACAAAACTTGATATTTTTGAATTATCAGTTAACAAAGACTGATACTAGCCAGAATTTTATGAGATACTGAAAAAAAAACATTTATTATTCATTAGGAGAGAGAATAGTTTTGGAGCATTTATACAATTTCTAATGTGCATACATGAGACTTAGCAGTTCCACTTCTCGTTGCTCACACAAGGGTACAAATACATGTATGTAATTATCTGTGACTACATAGTTTTAATAGCGAAAAATTAGGAATAACTTAAAATACTGGCGTAAAGGAATATCCAAAATTATGTAGAGGGAAAAAATTACTAAGCGGTCATACGTGACCCTCTTTCTGTGAATAATATTCTTACATACATATGAACACAGTGTATGGCGGGAAAATTGACAGGTAGATTTCTTCCCCCCCCAGAAGTTCGTTAGATATGGTGAACATTTGGAGAAATAGCATTACTCTTTTGGGGATTTGTATTTGAAAGTATTTTTTTTTAAATGCTCTAAATACTCATAAATAGATTTGTTTTCCTTGTTGAGGAACAAGGATACTAGAGTCTGATGGCTCAGTTTTTTTTTCCTGTAGTTAGATTTATAATCTGCATGCCTTTTATACCACAACATCTGTTTAAATTTAGGCATTATTCTATATTGTTATCATTAACCCAATTTTGGAATAATTTCAGTTTTACGTAGGCACACATAACATCAGCATCTCTAAATCAGATCTGATACAAATTACAGTTTTTGATTATTTAAAAATTTTAATGGAATAAACAGTAATTTTTTTCCTGAGTGCACACTGGCTTTTTGTTTTATTCTTAATTTATAATATAGGCTCACTGTATTCCAAGGCATTCGAGGGAAAGCCAAAGTAAAATATTTCAGAAACTGTCTTCTAAAGATTTTTTTACCGCCTCCTTCAATAAGTTTGAGAAATAGAAATTTTAACAAAAGTAATTTATAGTTATTATTGATACAGATATTAATAAGCATGATTTGTAATATTATGAGGAATTTTATAGTCAATGTGTCTTGCTTGAGATTTTATAGAATATATGTATATACACCTGCACTTGCATGCACGTTCCCAAGGTGATAGCTAAAGCCAAGATTTAAAGAGAATTTCTAGAAGGTAATGTACTTGGAATCTTTAACTTTTCTATCTGTTTCTTAAATACATTTTAGTTCTTGTTTTTGCTTTTATAATTTTGGTTTTCGATGTGTGCCTTTGCTTTTTATATAGATTTCGTAAAATGAACAAACGCCTGGTTCCCAGAAGACCCCTGAGTGCCTCTTTGGGTCAGCTTAACGAAGTAGGCCTGCCTTCTCCGTCTGTCCTCCCGGATGAAGGTGCCGTGGACCTGCCGAGCAGAAAAGCCCCCGCCCTGCCAAATGGCATTGTGTCAGCAGGGAGTACAGTAACACAGCTGATTCCGCGGGGGACAGACCCCAGCTACGATTCTAGCCTGAAACCAGGGAAGATCGATCATCTGAGCAGCAGCGCCCCCGGATCTCCTCCTGACCTGTACGTCACTGGTCCTAGCTTCTATTCTCAAGTTTCTTTTTTATAGACATAGAGGAAGGAAAGAATAATCGATGTCTTTTTAAACTTAATTTTTGGCCATTTGTTGTTTTTATTTCTATTTCTTGTGTTAGTGATTTTTAAGATAAAATTAGCATAGGTGAAATAAAATCAAAGTTTGCAAATTTTGTAGAAGAAATAACTATTGGAAGAAGTCAGTTTCCCAAATGTTGGCAATTCTTATTTCCATTTAACAAGTTAAGTACATTAGAAATGTTTTGAGACCTTAAATTTGACTTGCAGAATCTTACTCCCCTAGGCTGGAGTCTGTCCCCAAGAGTATTTCCGCCTTATCTGTGACTCCACACCCCGTTCCTCCGAGGGGGCCAGCAGACCTGCCTCCTGTACCTGTCCCCAAGCGGGGCTCTCAGCTGTACCCAGCACCGCAGGCGGACGTGTACTACCCAGACCCGCGAGGGGCGCCGCCGTTCGAACCAGCCCCTTACCAGCAGGGTAACGATCCTCCGTTTATTTCGCCGACTTTTCTCAGGAGTTCTGAGAACGATTCCAAGTGAGAGTGATCACATTCGCAGTAGTCTCCTTAATAGATATATTTTAATACTTTGGAAAAAACAAATTTTATGATCAACGAAATAGTATGAAATAAATGAGGTAGCAAAGCCATAAAATAAAATTTCCCAAACTACTGAACGCACTTAATATATTAAATATGTTCACATATTTATGGAAATAACAAGTCACCCAAGTAGACAGTGGAAGTTTGCTGACTAAGGCAGGATATATTTCCCTGACCAAAATTTTCTTCAAATGGGAAAAGAATTTAATATTACAGTAGGTATAAATTATGCACAGTCTGTTTTTCTTCCTATCAATTATCACCTAGTATTCTTCTGGGCCCTGTAAGATATATGAAAAATGCAGCGTACATACCTGTGGAGAGTTCGTAGTGTAGAGTCAGTTTTAGCAAAGACTAGAAAACCACGCGGCGGTGTGGGTTCGGTTCTGGCCGCCACAGTAAAGCAGGTCGCACACATGTTTTTCTTCCCAGTATTTGTATAAAAATCATGTTTATACTGTTGTCTGTTGATGTGTGCAGTAGCATTATGTCTAAAAAATACTGTACATACCTTAATTAAAAATTTATTTTTAAAAAGTGCTCACTATTATCTGGGCCTGTTGGAAAAGTGGCAGCAATAGACTTGCTCAATGCAGGGTTGCCACAAACCTTCCAGTTTGTAAAAAATGCCATTACCTACGAAACCCAGTAAAGCGAAGTACAATAAAACGAGGTATGCCTGTTTGTATCTGTGTGTTAAAAATAAGTGTTCATTTGTGGTTAATATTAGTGAGATAGAAACTAACTGCAAGACTCAAGGCAGGTCACTGAGAACTTAAGGAAGAATGCCTTAAATAAAGGATTCAAGAATAGAAAAAAAATTACTAGTGGATTGCAGAGATGAAAGTCTAGAGTCAGGGAGTAGTGAGGAGGCGATTGTTAATCCAGGTGTGAGTGTCGAGGTCTGGGTTAGCGTGGTGGGGGAAAAAAGGAGATTTTAGAGAACAGACCAGTTTGAAACATTAGCCAGTATGAATGACAGTACTACACGTGGAGAATGAAGGAGAGGAAGTGGCTGAGGCTTCACATATGATTCACATGAAAAAAGCAAGCACCTGATTTTTTAAACTAAAGCGTCAGCTCTTTCTGTCAGAAACAGTGTAGTGCTATTAGTTTTTAAACAGGTGGGTCAAAGGTGTTCTCTGTCTTTCTTTCCCAAGGCTGTCTTTTTTTTTTTTCGTCTTCATTTTGAATCAGAAATGCCTTCTCTGCTTTCAAAAGAATAGTTTATTGGCATGGCATTAATACATGTAAAATATGATAAAAGTCAGTTTATATTTTCCTTTTGACCATCTGTTGCAGAAACAAAAAAACAACTGCTTTTGTCGACAGGACCTCACCTACGGTGTATCTAGGCGGGGTTCAGTATTAAGCATCGTGAGGTTCACTGCGGGCGGTTAGGCGCCTGCAGAGGCAGTGGGTGGTGCTGGAAGGGAGGCTTAAACAGGGCCCAGGAGTGAGTCCCAGAACTGGCTGCCCCAAGAACCTGTCACAGCAAAGCAGCAACAGAAATGGGCACTTGTGTCCTGACTGTGAGCTCCAGCATCACGTCCCAGTAGCCTGGGACCAGGGGAGCTGCGGCCGTGATTGTTGTTTCAGGAACCCGCAGAAAGGGTCGTTGTGTGCCATGCCACCTTGTTGCCAGGTAGCTTGATTTCACATTCAAAACTCACACAGATGAGTGAGTTGTGGAACCTGAGTTTCAGGGAAATGTAGTTTTTTGCTTTCCAATGTTTGCACCAGAAAGACAGTCAAACAATTGAGAGAGCCAGTCTACTACTATAAATTATAAATAGATTATTTTTTCATTGACGTTTACGGATAATTTTTACATTTTATTTTTTGTAAAGCTAACCCGACTACATAAGCAGAGGGGGAAACATCTAAAGAAATGAGTGGATTGTTAATTATTTAGTGTCGAAATATTTTAAAATTATTATATAGAAAATACTATGTAGAAAAATACAAAATATTATATAGAAAAATACATTGGCTCACTCTTGCTTGGGTCCTCTTGTGTCATACAGGTGTGTACTATACTCCGCCACCGCAGTGTGTGTCCCGCTTTGTCCGACCTCCACCGTCTGCTCCGGAACCGGGTCCTCCCTACTTGGATCATTACCCACCTTACCTCCAGGACCGCGTAGTCAGCTCTCAGTACGGCACACAGCCACAGCAGTACCCGCCCATGTACCCGCCGCACTATGATGGCCGGCGAGTGTACCCTGCTCCTCCTAGAGAGGAGCTTTTCCGAGAAAGTCTCATACCCATTGAGATCCCTGCGGCAGTACCGCCCTACGTGCCAGAATCCAGAGAAAGATACCAACAGATGGAGGGTTACTATCCAGTGGCCCCTCATCCAACTCAGATCAGACCTTCGTACATCAGAGTATGCTGGATTTTTTTCTTATTACGTAGATTTAACTTGATTGTTGCTTGCAGTGATTTTTTTTTAATAAGAAAGCTTCCCTTTGTTCTCATCTTTTCATAATTTCAATAAGTTTGTTTTGTTTTTTTTTTAATTAAACTATTAAATTTTCCCACCCCCTCTCACTAATAACCCTTCTTAGCTTCTGAATGTTAGATAGCTTTATTAACATTTTAGAACTGTTTGGAAATTACGGTCTCTGGCCAAGAAAACGAAATTTAAATTTAGCTCTTTGGGAAATCCTGAGAGTTTTGGGAGGGTTATTTGTTTTGTTTTGCTTTGTTTTATTAAGTCTCGATATTTCCAAATGTTAAGATGAGTATACACGCCACTGCTTACATGAAATATTTACTAGATACATTAATGTGTTCTGAAATTTGTTTTCAGATTTTACTAATCTTTGCATTTTCAGGAGCCTCCTTATAGCCGGCTTCCTCCCCCTCCCCAGCCCCATCCTAGCCTAGATGAGCTGCATCGAAGACGAAAGGAGATAATGGCCCAGCTAGAGGAAAGGAAAGTGATCTCGCCGCCTCCTTTTGCGCCTTCACCAACCTTGCCTCCCACCTTCCATCAAGAGGAAGTAAGTACTTCATTTTTAGTCTCAGTTATCGATTTGTCCTATATTTTCTTCCAAAACGTTTATTATTTTATTTCCCATTTAGATCTGCAGTCCGTCTGGAATGATTTTTGTATTACAGTGTATTAGGAGTTGAGATCCATTTTCCTTCCCCCAAGGATATCTCATTGACCCAGCACCGTTTAATGAAAAGACCATCCTTTCCCTAGTGCCCTGCAGTCCCCTTAATCATGATCAGGTCACCTTTCTCATGATCAGGTGACTGTATGTGTTTCTGGTCTCTCTTCTCTTTCATTGATCTATTTTTCTGTCCTTATACCAACTGCATTGTCATAGTGTAGTTTTATAAAAGTCAGTATGTGGAGATGGATGTTTTTCAGTTGTACCTTTGCTCTTCTTGGCCCATGGAATTTCTAGACACATTTAGAATCAGCATTTTGTTGTCTACCAAAATATCTGCTGCAGTTTCTATTAAGGTTACATTAAATCTCTGGATCTGTGCTGTCTGGTATAGTGACCACTAGCTACATGTGGCTGCTGAGCGCCTATAATGAGGCTAGTCCAAAATCAGGTGTGCTGTGAGCATGAAATATACACTGGACCTGAAGATTTAGAACCCCCCAAAGTAAAATATTTCATTAATATGTCTGTTAATTACATATTAAAATGATATTGCTTTGGATGTATTAGGTTTAAAAATATGTCTTATTAAAATTTTACCTGTTTTTTTTAATGTGGTTACTAGAAATTTTTAAATTACATGCGTGATCTCATTGTGAGACAGCGTTGCTTAGATCCATCTGGAGAGAAGTGACATCTTTCCAATACTGAGTCTCCAAGAACAGAGTATACCGTCCACCGACTTGGATCTTCTTTGATTTCTCTCAGTACTGTCACATGTCACAGTTTTCAGTGTCTTGCACATCTTTCATTAAACTTATTCCTAGATAACTTATTTTTTCAAGTTGAATGCAATCCTTTTTGAAATTTTGTTTTCTTTGTTATTAATATAGATAGAATAGATTTTTGTGTTCTGAACTTTATGTTCAGCAGCCTTGCTAAATTTCTGTATTTAATTCTAGTATTTATTAGTGGATTCTTTTGGGTTTTCTGGGCACACAGTCACGTTCTCTATAAATAATGACCATATTGCTTTTTTCTTTTCAATCCTTTTATGTCTCTTTTTTTTCCTTGTGCTAGCTAGTCCTCCAGTGTAATGTCGAATCAAAGGGGCGAAGTATTCTTGACTTATAGTCTTTTAGTGAATGGCTCTTTTACAACATTTACTGTAAGTTTCTTTATAGGTGATTTTTATCAAATTAATGAAATTCCCCTCTCCATTTTAGACTTTTTATAAGTAAGATATGTCAAAAATTTATTTCAATAATGAGGAAAATAGCAGGATGGTAAAGTCGATTCAGAGAATAGGAGAAACAGGCCAGTATAGTAGCTGTGAAAAGAAGAAAAAAAAGAACACTGAAAAAAAGTTGCTAGAATAAACGGGCTAATGTACGACAGGGCAAGAAACCATAATTTGGGGGGTTACCTTCATTCTGTTTCTACAGACAACGTTAATAGCTATGAATGAGTGTTATTTATCATCTTTTTAATGTCAATAGGATCTGTGGTGGTGTTTATTTTTTCACTTCTGATATTGGTAATAATTTTTTCAGTCTGGTTAGGGACTTATCAGTTTGTCTTTTTTGAAAAACCAGCTTTTCACTTTGTCGATCTTATTTAGGTTTGTTGATTGTACACACTGCTTTAGCTTATATTGGGTATATGTGTGTGTGTGTTTTTTTTAAAGGTTTTCTCAGCTGTGTTGCAGTTGATATTATGTAAGGAAAATGTCTTACATCTTTTATTTGTAGAATTATGATTCTAAACAACATTGTTATCTGATAAATTATGAATAATAGGAAATGAAAAGTGAAGTGCATCGTATCACAGGTAATAAACGGTAACCTTTCGGGTCTGCAAAAGCGATCCACTAAGTTTAAGTTCACAGCATCTAGCTTTCCTCTCTAAACACTCTGGATGAATATTCCACAGTAATGTAGGTTAACTAATAAAGTTATAACGTCTTCTATTAATGTAATTTTACTTGTGAGTATAAACATTACTTGATTTTTTTTTTGAAAACTATATTAGAGACATCTTAGAACCTTGCTATACTGTTTTTTAAGAAATATGGAAGGCAATATGACACTGAAAAGTGAGCTAATTTTGGAATCAAACATATTTATCTTTAGGTTTAATTGTGTCACTCAGTGTATAATCTTTTGTAAGTTACTTATCCTCCCTGAGCCCTGAGGCTCAGGTTTCTCCATTTATAAATCAAGCATAATGAATCCTACTTCATAGTGATGTAGCAAAGATTAAATCAGACATAAGGCATGTACTTGTTTGTTTGTTTGTTGACTTCTAATAAAAATTATAATAATGCCTGGCTATTAAGAAACTTTATCTAGAATTATTTTAGTTACTGACATACAGACCTATATACAGTTGACCTTTGAACATCATGGGGGTTAGAGCTGCCAACCCCGACACAGTCAGAATTCCCAGTATAACTTTTGACTCCTTAAAAACTTAACTACTGTACGTTGCCCTTCCGTACCTACCAGGGTCGGTTCTAGCACCCCGTCCATCTCCAGATTTACAGATGCTCAAGTCCCTAATGTAAACGGCATACGTAGAACCATGCATGCAGTTGGCCTTCCGCATCCATGGGTTCCCATCTGTGGAGCGAAAATACTGTTTCAGTCTGCATTTGATTGAATCCACAGATGTGAAACCTTGGGGGTACAGGGCCAACTGCGCATTTACTGAAAAATAGCTGCGTGAATGGACCTGCGCAGTGCAAACCCATGTTGATCTTGGGTCCTCAGTGTTTAAACTGCCGTTCTGATTATCAACACCGTACGTATAGTTGTATTAAATTTATACTTTATAAAGTATAACAGAAGTTTCTCCAAAATCACATGTCCCGTATCATGGCAACTTATTACATTTCCTATTTTTTCTTTTCTTTTTTTTTCCATCTGTAGTTTTTGGATGAAGACTTGAAAGTAGCTGGGAAATACAAAGGAAATGATTATAGCCAGTATTCTCCCTGGTCATGTGACACCATCGGCTCCTACATTGGAACCAAAGATGCAAAACCCAAAGATGTTGTGGCAGCAGGGAGCGCGGAAATGATGGTATGTGTAATAACCAAGCCATGAGTAATAAAAGTCAAGATAAGCCAAATGAACGATCCCCTGTACTCTGTACTATGAGATTGAGTTATATTTAAACTATGTTTTATTGTTTGTTTCAGGTATAATTAAAAATCTTGACTACTTATCTAAACAAAGAACATTTATATTTCTGTGCAGCCAGCAGTTAACCCAACAGCTGTTCAGAACCAAAATTAAATTATTTCACATAATTAATCAAGAGCTTGGATTTCTCGTCCAAGTAAATTATAACTCTTTTACAACTCTGAAGTTTAAACAACAAAGTTGAATCCAGTGAACAATAGTATTTGAGTCAGAATTGTAGCTGCTTAGCCTCAAGTGAGCTCTGGTACGCTGAATGTTACACTTATACTGTTTTGTTTTTTAAGAAAAAATAATGTAACACCAGTGTGTCTAATACCCAAGCTTAAAATATGTCACTATTTTATCTTAATTTCTTCTTAATTTTTAGAGAATTAAAACTTTACAAAGTTTTAGTTCAGTCTTCCTATATATACTTCCCT